GGTTATAAATTACATTCGCATTCTATATCTTATGGTAAACCTGAATTAACTTTGTTATTTGAATTATTATTGTTGTAAATATATCTTAAGGTGATTTATATTTTTGTAGGAACTGGTTCTGGACAACAAAGCGTTACGGGTCTACCTCACACTGATGACCCTGATTCGCTTTGGATCATAAAAGGCGCTGTTGGCAAGAACTGTTTACGAGGGTAAGTTCGTTAAGACATTTACTGGAAATAGTTCTTTTTTTTTTCTTTTTTTTTTTGAATTAATGTGAGTGTTAATTTTTGATTTTTAGTGAAATTATTAAATGCGGTGATTTTATCAGATTACAACATGCAGGAACTAATAAGTTCCTGCATAGTCATTATCATCGATCACCTCTTTCAAACCAACAAGAAGTTAGTGCTTTCGATGGATTGGATTCAGGTATTAATTACTTTATAAAAAATATTACCTTTTAATTCTTATATGTCAAAACTCATATACTATATTCACAACTTTCTTTTAATCAGGGGATAACTGGAAATTAGTGTGCATAAACACATCATCATTATATTGGTTTCGTGAGCAGAAAATTAGATTAATACATGTAGAGACATCTTCTTATCTATCAGCAAATTTAGAAATGGTTTATAATAATCCTATTCACGGACAAATCGAAGTTGCTGCTTCTAGTTCAAATGACAAGAATACTGAATGGATCGCTCAAGAAGGAATTTATTTTGCAGAAAGAAAAAGCTCTTGAACTTTTAATTTATCTTAATATATTTAATGAAATAATGTGTCGCGTGAATCTTAATTCTTGATTTCACAAAACGCATAAAATAATATTTTTAATTTTTATTAAATGCAAAAATTACGTCTGTGACGTGATAAAGAATTTTGACCAAATATTTTTTTGTATACAATAGCGGTTTGAACTGGGTATCCCAAACATTCAATTTAACCGAAATTAATTCGTTAAATTCTGTAAAGTAACTTAATTACGAACAATACTTTAAAACCTAAGAATCACAAAATTTTATATATAATTGGTTCATTTCTTATATAAAAAATTGGATATTTTCGTTCATATAGAATTATATCAGAATAAATGCTAGTTGCTTTCTTAACAGTGAATTATGTGATTTGTATAAATAGACTACAAGCATTTATTGCAATATGAATGTATCCTTCAATTGCAATATAGTAAATATTCTATGTAAATAGATATATGGGTCCTTTCATGGAGATGACCCACCGAAACTTTATAGGTTTTATAAATAAAATTTGGATTGTTAACTGTTCAATAATCCAATTCGAATAAACTTTTTTGATTTGTAGAGCTTACTAAGATCATGTACGCTGCGCGTACTGCGTATTCAATTTACATCATCCTATAAAAAATTACGTTTTGTACATGGCTTAATTGATAATCGAGTTTTTTTTCAATGTCTTCATTCGTCAAATTCGCCAAATTTCTCACTTCGCGAAATATAGTCAGAAACAAACTTAATTACACGAATATCAATGTTCAAGCATCTAAGTTTACGAAACATGATTTAAAAGAACTGAGTGTTAATTTTCAGCCAGCATCCAATGATCTCGTTATCCCTAATGAAAAAATTGAAGATTTTCCAGAAAAATATATTTGCCCCAAAGTAAATAGAGTCATGCTCGATCAAGCAGAATTTAATGTTGAAGAATTAAG